TGTCAGGAGTACGGAATTACTTCTGTGCTAATCCATTGATTCTTAACCAGAACCCTTGAGTCTGAAAAAGAGATAACCAATGAAAAAAATTGTCATAAAATGTACAAAGTTGTGAACAGCAGGGAGAGGGTGTTTAACAACAGTTGTTCCTTCTCTCTTCTAGTACAAAAATGAGAGCACATCATATTAAATGAGCAGGTGACTTGCTTAAAGCAAATGAAAAGAGACGCTTCATACCACACATGGTTAGAGCTGGGGAACATTCCACCACAGAATATGTTTAGTGGTGTAAAAGTACATGATTTCAAAAGATGACTGGACAAATTCACAGAAGAAACTCCATCAGAGGCTATTAAATTCAGCTATTATCTCTTGCTTAAAAAAAACCCAAATCTAAAAACTAGATTTCTGGAAGTAGGAATCAATTTTACACATTTACTCTGTTCCTATATTCTTCCCTAGACATCGGGTCTTGGCTGATGTTGAAGTCAGCTTATGCTGCTACACTGGTCTTGGTCTAAACTGGTGAAAACTCTCCTTAAGTTCAAAAGGGTTGTGAGAACATTAAAACACATTTTAAAAGAAATTAAAAGCCCAAAGGGCCTGAAAGGAAGTGACTTTCACTTCTCAGAGCAAATGTACCAACCTATAAGAATTATAGAACTAAGGAGGGAAAATAAAAACCAAAAACCAAATTCAAATAAAAAACCAACCAACCAAGCAAACAAACAAACTTGGTCAAGAAGAAAAATATGTTTGACAAGAGGAGAGGGGGTGGGCCATCTCCAAGGGTGACAAACTCTTTTTCAGCACTAGGCATGGCTGGAAGCCACAGATTTTTCTTCAGTTTTTCAGGTGACTGCTGCCAACCCTCACCAATGCATTGTGGTCACACAGAGACTCTAATCCTAGCCTCTGCAGAAGCCTTAAAGAAAGTGTTACTGTCCCCAAAGGTACATGGTAAGGGAAGAGGGGCGTAAACACCTAAAAAAGTGGAGCTAAAATGGAGCACTGTTATACTGGGCAAAGAAAACCACAGCTGTCACTGCCATTGTTCCTGTGACAGATAAAACCATCCTTGCAAGGGCATCACTGGAGATTTATTCTTTCCATGACACAAGCAGCTCAGAATTCAGTCCAATCTTTGGCCCAAGACAGAAAAAGTAAATTATTAAAGAAAATATTATTTATATAATATCAGGAAGTCTAGTTCTGCGGGTAAGACATGGATCTGGGTGTGGAGAACTGCAGCCTTTGGTTTTGAAGACTTTCAAGGCTGAGTTGGCCCAGGAAAGACTCTTCAGCTCCAGCATGTGTCACTACTGGCCAGGCTCTAGCTTGATTTCCACTGGCTGCACCCAGACAAGCACTCAACATATCGCCCAGGGGTGCACACCACCACCAGGCACCTGATTCATGTGGTGATGAAGAAGCCTTTGGCATCCTTCTGCATGGTCAGGGTCAGTTCTAGAAAACTTGAAGGACCTCAGCCATTGTGTCAGTGTGCAAGTATGGCTGCTTGAAAATGCCCTAAATGGTGCCCAGGGTGTTCTTTGATTTTGAATAAAAGACCAGGAAAGGTATATGGTTTCATTTATTCCTTGTCCCAGCACGGGCTCCTGTGTGTCCTTCTTGGAAACAGGCCCCCTAGCTGCAGAAAGGTGTATGGCCTGGAATGCTATGGGGGTCCCAAGGGATGCTGTCTTCCATAATAAAGGAGACATCAAGGGGAAGTCATGGCAGGTCCACCCAGTCTGGCTTCTGCCCAGTGTCCCTGGACATACCATGTGAACCAGAATATTCCTGGTCTGGCTAGTGTGCTACTGTGGTTTTAAATGCATGTAACATCACATCATTCACAACCAGCAGGAAGCCACGGAGGGCAGCCCCCGAGGTCCTGGGCCACAGGTGGTCCTTTCAAGGTTGGGTGTGTGGACGGAGAGCCCCAGGGTGGAGGTGGGAAGGTGGTAGTGGAAGTTCCAGCCATTTCATGGAAAGGGTGTTCTCAGGGCCCCTCCAAAATGCTTCTTTTTCCTTAGGGTTCTCGGAGTCCCACTCAGTACCTGAATGCGGGGTTTCTGCCCGACTCTGCCCTTCCTGGGGGCTGCTTTGGGCACACGTCCCTGCCCCGGTGCACAGCGTACCGCAGCCGGCGCTCCTTGCCGGTAGATGGCATCCCCCGTCCGGGCAGAGCAGCGCCGGGAGCGGAGGGGCGCGGAGCGGCGCGGCGCGGGACCGGCCACGAGGTGGGGGACAGGGCAAAGCCCGCGGCCCCGGGAACGGCGGGTCTTACCACGGGAAATGCCACTCATGGTTGTACCGCCGCTGCTCGCCTTCTCTCTTTTCTTTCTTGCCCTTTTAAGACGGCACCTGCCGGGTTGGGACGGGAGCGACTGGAAGATGCTCAAAGACAAGTCGCGATCAGGAGCTGTATTAACACGAGGTCTTAATTGTCCACACTGGAGGCTGGCTCAACTGACCCCTAGAAAGGAATCTCCTGAGCAGCCCCCCCCGCACACACACACACCACACACCCTGCACCAATAGGCGAGGGCTTGGGACTACTGCCCAGGTCTTTCAAGGGGGGTACCCACCATCACCCTCCGAGGCCACCCCCGTCGGCCACGTTCAGGAGGAACCACACCCAGCTGGGGCCCCTGGGGACCCGGTGCTACCGAAGAACCACCGGTGTCACTCGCTCAGTGAAACACCCGTGCATCCTGCGTGGGTGATAATAGGGGACCGAGGGCAGACCCGATTCTTTTGATTTGTCGCTACAGCGGTTCTTCCCCATGTAACATTTAAACTCCGCCGTTCTTCATACTTCAGAGGCTGTTTTTTTTTCTTTTTAAGATGGTGTTTAAACTTCAGCCTGGGAGAAGACAAAGAATAAAAGGGGGGGGGAAGGAGTAAAAAGGAAAAATACTAACTCTTCGTCAAGAGAAGTAACCTTTTGAAGAGGAAAAATCCTGTCTACCTTTCTTTTAGTAGCTTGCCCTAAGACCTCAAAACTAATTCGAAGAGGCATTTTATGAACTGTATGAACTGTAAATCTCTATTGACATCACTTTTTCTACAGAAAAAAAAATAGTAGTCAATTACTGGGGGTACTTTTTTTTTCCTTTTTTTTCCCCTTTTACTTTTTTCTCCCCCTGTTTTGTAACATTTGGTGGTATTCTCCTGTAGGCGTCTTAGTAGTGAACAAAATATAAATAGGATTATTTGGAAATAGTAGAAAGGATTATGTTGTAAATCCATGGAAATGGGTTTGAAACAGGGTGGCTTGTAATTTTGGGTTAAGACAATATATCCAAAACGTATTTCAAGAAATGGGGTTTGTGCTTTGTTTGAAAAGTGAGATTCGATCCGTTAGACTCTATGCGTCAGCCCACCCTTCTCACGATGATTTCTGCAGGAGAACGAAATGCTCCCTTACTTTTGTCCCAATCGAATCCTATTGTGGTTTATCCTGCCAGAACTGGGAACGATGGGATTTTTCAAAGCTTTTCTTTTGAAGACTACAGTAATTGCATTTCTCTCCAAGTTTGTGGGGGTTTTGTTTTGTTTGGGTTCTTTGGTGGGGGTTTTGGTTGTTTTTTCCCCTGCTAGCCCTTACATAAAGGGGGGCCCGCTCTTCTGTCGTCGCATGGATCACCTGAAACGGGAACCCGTGCGACTCAATTAGCAATTAATTAACAATCCTCTGTGTTACTTTCTCAGGGGTGTTGCTCCTACTTAGAGCAAAATTCGCATTTTAAAGGCCGGCGAATTGTTTTCCTTTGCAGACGAAAGAAGTAAGCTAAGTTTCTGTTACTGTTTTCCATAATGGAGAAAGCTGCTTCTCTCCCTTTAAAAACAAAAGCCTTACAAATAAACTGAGAATAGCGGTGTGATTTGGAGGTTGTTCTTTGAGAGCTTGTGAGGTCGACTTGGAGAGATATTTTATTTAATTCTTAAATAAGTTAAACTCTGGATGGGGGAAGGAGGAGAGGAGGGGAGAGAGATGTCTCTAAAGCATTCCGCGGACAGAAGTCTGAAGTTTATTAACTCACCACCTCCCTCTCTGGCCTGATTTTTTTTTTCTCCTCCTTCCCACGGGAAGCGGCACCCCATCTCGGAGGGCAGCCCTGGAAGACGCGGAGCTCCGAACGGCTCTTGGGAAGATGCTCCAACTCTTTCTGACAGAGTTGCACTTCCTCCCCCCCCCCCCCCCCCCCGTAGGGGTCATATGTTATTTCCCCCCTTTTCCACTAAAGATGGCCCTGGTCGCCCCGCGGCCCCCCAGAGCCCCTCCTAGACGGGGTGAGGACGGGGGGGCCGGGACGGTCGCGAGGCGCCCCTCTTCGTGGGGGGAGACACGGCGCCGCTCGCCCCGTCGCGCTTTGACGCTGGGAGCCATGTGATGGCCCCCCCGCTATAAGGCGGGGAGGAAGGCCGCCCTCTCTGGGACTAAGCCCCAGCCTTTTCACCGTCTTTCCTAAGGCCCGGCAAGCCACCCCCTACGCCCTCCCTCCTCGCCAGCCTCCTCCCCTCTCCTCCTCCCAGGACTAGGCGCACTCCCTCCTGCCCCCCATCCATTAATGTCTGGGCTTTGAGGTGAGGAGAAAGAAGGGGGAACCGACTTGCAGGAGCTGCGGCACAGTCCCCCTGCGCCCACAAACCCCGACCCCAACGGAAAAAAAGCTGAGAAGGATCCCCAAAAAGGGGGAGGGGAGGGAAAAAAGAGAGAGACAGACAGACAGAGAAATCCAAACAGCAGCAAAAAATACCCCGAAACAAAACCCAAGCCAGCCGCCGCCTGTGAGCGAGCAGCGGGAGCGCTCCCGAGGCGCGGCAGCGGCGCTGGGGGCCGGCGCGGCTCGGAGCGGCCCGCCTGCCCGTGGCGGCGGCGGGGCGGCTCTTCGCGGAGCGACGCGGAGGCCTGGCGGCGGCGGGGAGAACGCCTGCCCGCCCGCCGCGCCGCGCCGGCCGCCACCGATGCGCTGCCCCGCCGCCGCGCCATGACCCTGAGCTCGGAGATGTCCGAGGCGTCGGCGCTGGCTGAGGAGACCGACATCGATGTGGTGGGCGAGGAGGACGACGAGGAGGACGACGAGGAGCCGCAGACCCGCCGTCGCCGCCGCTCCTACGCCGAGGACGAGGAGGAGGAGGAGGAGGAAGAGGACGAGGAGGATGTGGGCGACCTCCACGACGCCGCCCTGCTGCCGCGATCGTCCGTGCGCGGCGGAGGTGGCGGCGGCGGCGGCGGCGGGGCGGGCGGCGGGGACGGTGCCGGCGGCTCTCGGCCCCCCTCGCGGGGTGGCCCCCAGAAGGCGACGGCGAGCGGCGGCGGGGCGGGCGGCGGGGACGGTGCCGGCGGCTCTCGGCCCCCCTCGCGGGGTGGCCCCCAGAAGGCGACGGCGAGCGGCGGCGGGGCGGGCGGCGGCGGTGGGGCGGGCGGCGGCGGTAAGAACAGCTTGGTGAAGCCGCCCTACTCCTACATCGCCCTCATCACCATGGCCATCCTGCAGAGCCCCAAGAAGAGGCTGACGCTGAGTGAGATCTGCGAGTTCATCAGCGGGCGCTTCCCCTACTACCGAGAGAAGTTCCCCGCCTGGCAGAACAGCATCCGCCACAACCTCTCCCTCAACGACTGCTTCGTCAAGATTCCCCGGGAGCCCGGCAATCCTGGCAAGGGCAACTACTGGACGCTGGACCCCGAATCTGCCGACATGTTCGACAACGGGAGCTTCCTGCGCCGCCGAAAGCGCTTCAAGCGGCAGCAGCTCCCGGCTCCTGAGCTTCTGCTGCGCGCCGTGGACCCCGCCGCCTTCCTCCCGCAGCCCCCGCCGCAGCCTCCGCAGCAGCCACCCTGCACCTACGGACCCTACGGCTGCGGCTACGGTCTCCAGCTCCAGCCCTACCACCCCCACTCCACTCTCTTCGCCTTCCACCACCCCTCCCCGCCGCCCCGCCAACCGCCCACCGCCCCTGGCAGCGCCCCCGGTGCGGCGCTGCCCCCCGCCGCCGCCGCGCCGCCGGGCCCCTTGCTGCCGGCGGCGGAGCTGGCACGGACGCCCTTCGGCTACGCGCACCCGCTGGGCACGGCGCTGGCGGCCTCGCTGCACTCTGCCAAGCCCGGCAGCGGCGCGGCGCTGGCCCGCTCGCCGTTCTCCATCGAGAGCATCATCGGGGGGGGGCCCGGCCCCGGCGCGGGCAGCAGCTGCGCCTCGCAGTCGGCCGCGGCGCCGGGGCTGGCCCGCTCGCTGGGGAGCGCCGGGGGCGGTGTGCCCCCCGCCGCCGCCCTGCCCGCCGCCCCCGGCTTCGCGGCACGGATCTCTAACTGTTAAGTGTTTGGGAGTCTTTCCGAAGGTAGGATCTGGGGTATCTCCTTTCTCCGCCGCTCGGACGCCCGGCGGACGCCGCTCGCAGGGGCTGCCTGTCTTTGCGTGGGGATATTGTGACGGGGATCGGGGGGCGTCCGCCGTGAGCGGCGGACCTCCCGGGACCTGCACGAGTGCAAAGCCAGGTCTAGATCTAGATACTGCACGGGCAGGCGGTAACTACATCGGAAAGTTATTCGTTACTCCTTAAAAAAAAAAAAAAAAAAAAAAAAAAAAAAAAGGTAATAAATAATGTCTCTAAACCGTTAAAGTTCAGAGATTCTCAGGTCTAGGAGCTTGAAAACAGTAATGTACAGGAAAAAAAAGGCTTGAGGGAGGACAGCAGAGCAATACTTTTGCATTTTAGTACACTTGTCTCATGTACTTTTATAAAAGAAAAGATTAACGTGTTTACACAGAAGAAAGTCAAGATTATCATTTCTTATTTTAACCTGTGTTTTGTATTATAATAGACTTACGGAGTTTTTTATTTTGTACTTTATGCTTATTCTTTACAAGGAATATTGTTAAAAATTACTGGCAAGTATTGTACCAATTTAATGTAAAATTTTTACACATTTTCAAAAATAAAAATTTTAATTTTAAAAAAAAAATCAAAACCAAACCCAAAGACCAAAGGATTCCAGCCAAATAATTGGCTTTGGATCCTTCCCTCCTTAATATTTCTCATTGCTCTGAGACACTGATAATTTTTTTCTTCGGGGTTAATAGCACAATAGTCAAGGAATATTATAGCTTGAAATTCATTACATCCGGATTTAATCATAAAGAAGAAGATCAGAATATGGTCTTTGCAGTCAATGCGTTGTTAACCCTAGCAGAGAATGATAGACGCCCCCCACAAAGAAAAAAAAACCCAAACAAAAAACACAAACAAAAAAACCCACCCCAACACAAAACAAACAAACAAAACCAAAAATCCTAAACAAAAGACTACAAAAAACATCAGGGACAAAAGAGAAGATAAATAGAAATAGGTCTCTCTGTAAGGCACCAATCAGGGGATTGATTAAAAAGCCGGTTTAAAACTATTTTTATACTTTTGGGTGTGTTTTAAATCACAACTGCATCACAGTTTTGTTTCCAAGAGGCCCAAAGGAAAATACTACTACTGACAGGCACGTACTGAACTTAAGACAGATTTGCCCTAGACACTTATATTTCTGTGATGATAGCAGTGGCCAGTGATTCTACTTTTCAATACATATAATATAAAATGAGCTCTGGAATATCCTTGTGTGATGAGTTGATTAAGTGTATAAGCTGTCGAATTAATGACATGTAAGTATATGGAACAAACCATGAAAGCAGTTTTTCTGATTCCAAACACTCGTTTTTAACAGCATAACGTCAATATCTATTTTATGGACTAGAAATTTTTTAACCACAAAGCCGTCCTCAAATATTCAGAACCTGGGCATGGAAAAGAGAAACACAGATTTTAAGAGTAAGGATGTGGTTACTTGTTGTGGACTAAGAATACACGTTTTTCAAACCAGGGAGGCTCTTTTCAAGTACGACTGTATTTATAACAACTGAGGAGACTCGGGGATCAATTATGTGAATTTTCTTAATAAAAAGAATTATAAAGGGCAGGGATGCCTTTTAGTGCTCTTTGAAGTGAGGAGGGAAAGGTGGGGTAAATACATGCATTTACATATCGAAATACTTCGTCGCCTTGGCTTTAAGTGTTTTCGTAGATAGAAAAGTGACGCTTTTCTGTTTGGTTTGTAGCAAGGCAGTGTTAAATTAGTAGCTTTGAAAAAGCAGAAAGAGTGGACGTAAGATCTCTGCTCGGCTCCATTTGCAGTCTGCAACTGGAAGGCTCCTTTGGGTGTCCCGGGTCCATTAGAAGACGAAGTAGGGTCCGTTTTAATTTTTAAAACTAAAGGGAAAATACCCCAGAGGCACCGTGTATGTACCGGTGATTGCGCGTCTTTTTCACGAGAGACCGATTAACTGGCTTTCTCCGGGACTGGCCAGGGGGATGCGCCGGGCCTACGGCCGGTCCAGCGCGGGGTTCCGAGCTCGGCAGAGGCCTCCCTCGGACAGTCGGATAAAATCAAGCAGGAAAGGGTTTTGCCGGGATGAAGGCAGCTGTAGCAACCGAGACCGGCGATGCCCGGCTCCCCGGGAAGGGACGCTGCCGGCCGTCAGTCTGTATTCTGGCTTCTCGAGTCCTCGCGCTCTCCACGAGCAGTTACATGGGAAGAGTAGATTCCGGCGACCCACCCTGTGTTTGTTTCTGTTGGCTTCCCCGCAGCAGACTCTGGGGAGCCCAGCGACTCCCCTGCGCGGAGCCGGGCCCGGCCCGGCGGGCCGCAGGGTCGAGTGTGCCTGCCGCCTGTCCCTCAGGTCTTCTCAGAGGTGCATGGCAAGCAAACTGCTTGACCACTTGTTTCTTCCACGCTTTCCGCCGGTTGCCTTCATCCCATACGGACAGGGCCTTCCCCTGCGAGCTGGTAGGGAAACTGGCAGGAACAATTTGCAGTACGTGGTGTAGGGGATCGGGCAAGAGGTTTGTGGCGTTGGTGGAGACCTTTTCGCCTGTTCTCCTCGAGTCGACCGGGAAGCTGCCCGTCCTCGGTCTCGGTTCCGGCGGTCCCTGTTCCCAAGCCGCTGCTCCGGAGCAGGTGCCGCCAGAAAAGGCGCCGGCCCCGCAGACTTTTGATGAGCTCGCAGCACCGCCGGGCCGCAGCGCCTCATTCGCATGCTAATGGCCCGCCGTGGTCTCCACGGCTTTCAAGGCTGGGAGAGAGGACGTGTAGTCCTCGCAAGGACCTAGCCTGGACGAACAATTCCTCCAAAATAGTCCGGGCCCTAATAAACAGTTTGGTAGGACAAGGAGTATAGTGTCGCCTCCTTCTCCTCCCAGCGGAAAAAGTGTGGATTCATTAACCCGTTTCCTTGCTCATCATATCCCAGTAGGGCTGAGACACGAATTACTGGATGTGAATTAGGAGGGGATTGCTCTATGAGGGGGCTAATGTTTCAGTCAGTTCCTCCAGAAGGACCACACAAAAAGAAACTTTTTAGTTTATGGTACTATTATGCAGAGTTTTAATCTAGGGATAGATTTAGCCAAATGTTATCTATTGGGAATTTAATGAAGCCCTTATGTATTCAATCGTCTTTCATGCCACACACAGTGTCTCTATCCAGAAACGTTTCCTTCCACATATTTCTTTGTTTCTGATGGGTGATTTATATATTTTTAATTAGGTTTTAAAAAAAATATTTCTTTTCAAGCATCTTGTATAACGTTTCTCTCAAGCAGGACTGTGTTAAGTCCCTTCCCACATCCCCTATAAAAGAGCTTTCCCCTTCCCGGTTTCAAAGATGATTAGCTTGCACGTCTGCACGCTGTGCCCTTCCTGCCGGAGCATTCCCGCTGCCTTGTACAGAGGGCCCGGACATGGTGCCCTCTCGGTCATCACCGGTGTGGGCTGAGGCAAGCAGCACAGCCCGGGTATCCGGTCGAGCCCTGAGCCCCCCGTGCACAGATCCCCGGCCCTAAAGTTGCACTCCTCACAAACCTTCCCCACCCGCAGCTCCTTCGGACCACACCTTTGGTCCTGTTTGTATTTCTGGTGTCGCGAGAGGCACCCCTGGGGACAGCGAGGTGTCAGCTGGTGCACACCGCGTCTTTGTAGGCTCGTTTCAAGTACCCGGGACCAACTCCATCCCCGATTCCGGAGGATGCAAGTGGGGTGCGAGGCCCTCACCTGCTCTCAGCTGCTCCCTTTCTTTCGGCTCTGGTGGCAAGGGCAAAGCGCACGGTCGCCCCCATCGAGAGTGAGGCCTCTGCGGGGTATCTGTTGGAAACTAGATCTGGTTTAACTGTCCCTTGGCACGGCCCAGAGATTCCACTCTGTATGCAATACTTTCCCGCAGTACTTACAGTAAGTACTGTAGTAGTCTCTGGTAATATTGTATTTGACACAAATAATGGAAATTACGATCGTGGCCAAACGCTCCCCGCTCTGGAACTTGCTAACCAATGTAGATGCGTTTTTCAGCTTGTTGCCAGTGGCTCCCTCATCCGCAGCAGTATTCCTCCCACTTCCCTTGCTGCCGGCCACACGCACCATCGGAATCCGGGCACGGGCAGGAACCGACCGCCTTGTGCTCGCAGCCGGCCGCATCACGAGCAGGTAGGTGTCTGCTCGGCCTCCGCCGCCCCTCACCCCCAGGCTCCGATGATCTGCCGCAGGTGATTTCAGAGCCTCTATGCCCTTCTCCACAAGTCCTTTCTGCTCTGCAACCCCCACCGTGAGAGCCACGTCGAGCAGCCGCCGTGGGCTCTCTGCTCTCTGCCCGTTCCTGCCCTGCAAGGCACGACCAAGATGTTTAGGAGACATTCGCCACAAGTGCGTGTGTATATGTGTGTGTGTACGTGTGTGCAGGCAAATGGCACTCCAGAAGGTAACAAGCTGCTGCCGGATCCATGCTGCGGCAACAACCATTCTCAATGCCTCTTTAATCTCAGTGCCATCTTTAAGCAGATGGGTGCATGTCGATTTTGGGGACAGGCAGAGAAATGCAGGCGAGCCCCAAATCGGTAAACCTCTCGTTCCTGTTTTTCACTTGCAGGACAACTCTGGTCCCCACCGCCGGCCCCCGCCCGAAGGTGTGCTGTGAACTACCGGCCCTGGAGCCACGCCGGACCCCTCCCCGCCGCCCGACCCAGCTCGCCACTCAGTTCCCGGCACGCTCCAGAAGAACAGAGGCAAAGGCTGTGGGGCTTGGGGGGTACACACCTCAGCAACCTCAGACCAGCCCAGCTGCAGCAGCATGGGTGGCACCGAGGGCCATGCACGACCGCGCAGCGGCGCAGGGCCTCCGCGGCCTCGGCGGTGCTCTGCTCGTGGGAGCGGGGAGGCACCCGGCAGAGTCTCAGCGAGAATCACCGCGTAAGGCACACAGAAGCTGCACATTGTAAGAAG